ATCTACCATCCAAGATACCAATACATTGACTTGATCTTGTAACCTGGGCACAATCCAAAGTGTGGTTATCATCTTTCATGGCAGACAGCCTGGTTACTGAAAGAAACCTGAAAGAAGATTGTCTGTCTTCATCTATTCACACATCTGATCAGTTGACCTAGAGATTACACAATGTCACATTGTGGGACTTGGGACGGTGTTTTGTCATTGGAATGGGATTTGGGACTATGTCTTCTCCATTCCCTATGGGATGAGTTTACATCTAAGATGCCTCCTCCTATCTTTTTGATTCTACATACTCTTTTGACTTTCTGCAACTTATTAAAATTGCAGAAAGTCAAAAGTTGGTTGTTCTTACTGGCCTTGGGCTAAAATGGTGGTACAGCCCATTTGGTTTTTGGTCTGTCTTCTGGTCAACTATATTCTTTTTCATTGTGATATGTTATTTCATTTTAAATTTCTTTAACATTTTTAAATTGTAGACCACCCATGAATTACAGTAGTCAAGCAGCCTCAAAAGTGAAATAATAAACAAATAGTAATGTTGGACTTGAAATATTATTCCAAAATCCTATAAATAGTACTTTTAATTTGACTAAAACAAAATAAAACACCTTACCGAGATTTTGCAGAACTTTGTATCTGCTTGGGAATAGCCTCTGGAGCCTCTAAAAATCATGCAAGAATGCTCACACAATTTTTGGAGATTTAAGAAGCTGCACATGAGCAGAGCACCTTTATATAACTTCCAGAGGGTACAAAGGCCAAGTGTGTCACTAGAAATGACCTGGCATATCATAAGTGACACATGTATCATAGATTCATTAATACAAATCTAAATACTTATCTTATGGAAAATAAGGACAGAATTCTAAAAAGAAAAGGAGGACAATTGCCTTTGATACTACTACGTTTTTATCTTTAGGAATATTTATCTTATGGTTTTATTTGTTTAATATTATAAGCTGCTGAGAGTCGCTTTGAAACAGATGGGCAGCAAATAAATTTAATAAACAAGCAAGCAAGCAAGCTTGCTTTAAGGATAAAGAAAGTTTGATAGCAATTTTATTTCAGCAAGTTTTATTCAAGTTACAACACAACTAGAAGCTATATTCCTAAAATCTCCTGTTGTATAAAGCTGAATCAATGGATTTTACAAAAGAACACTTAATTGTTTATGCCTTTTACCGTTTGGATAAGTGTCATGTTTATGCTTCTATCAAAATAGTTACAGCTTTCAGTGATGTTACACAGTACTAATTTGGCAACATAGTGCTTTATGTATGAGGACAACTGTGATAAAAGATCTGTGAAACAGACTGATTAAATGACCTGTGAAAAAGAGGTTGAAAGAATGCACCACCAGTTTGTGCAGATCTTTTCCTATTAAACGAGCAGGGAAGGTATACTGCTGATCAAGCATACGTTTGACTAGTTTCATTTTCTACAAAATAATCCAAGCGTGCTTGGACTGCAGATTTTAAAATTGCTCATTATATTATTTATATTATTTAAATTAAAAAGAAAATAAGCCCAGAAAAAACTATTGTACGGAAGCAAATTTTAAAACCTGTTATTGGCGAGAAAAAACAATGCCAGCTGGTTAATGTAAATGTCAATTAATTGAATGAAAAAAAGTCAAGTATAGTTCTTATTGTATATTTTTAATGAATTATCGTTAGTTTTCAGCAGGCACTTATGCCATATTGAAGTAACAAAACAAAAGCTTGGGTTCAAGATAAACAATTGGGTTCAAAATAAACAACCTAAACAATGCTAGATCCTTGCCTTATGACAGCAATAATACAATGTATTTTACACATATTATTAAGAAGATCCCAATTTAAAATATTTCTTCCACAAAGGAAGAATGAACAGAAGAAAACAAAAATTAAAAATAAACGTATTATATAAGCCTTGGCTTCTTCCTGTCGATTTGCCATTATCAAGGCTAGTCCAGAGTAGTAATTGAAAATTTCCCTTTCCCAATAAATGAGCACTTGACACATTTCATATGTCATATATGTGCTAAAACCATATTCTGAAAAAAAAAATCCACTAGGATTAGGAAAAGAAGCTATTGTTGGAATGAATGGCTGAATTTATCAAGTATTAACTTCCACATACACAAAATCATGAAAATGTGTCCCACAGAGAGACATGTTGCCCCTCTCCTATCAGAAATAAGAATAATGATGAAAAACACATGATGGAGATTGGGCAAAGGAAGAAATAGTTGTATAGAGATGTGAAATAACAGATGAGAAACAAAACTGGATGAAGAAGAGAGAGGGGAGAGGATAGGAAGGGAGGGGTTGAAGGAAGGGGAAAAGGGGAGGGGAGAGGAAAGGAAAGGAGAGATAAATCAAAAATGGTTTAGGAATTGTAGAAAGGACAAAAATTAAGTTGGTAAGCAGCTCTTTAGAAGTGCTATGTTTTCAAATGTAGTGCAGATTTCAAGCATAATACATACAGACCCTTTTTGGAAAGTGCTTTGTTTGTTTGTTTTTTTGATAAAAACTATATTTAAAAAATTATAAGCCAAAGGCCACCTTTTGCACTGTTATGCACAATCAGTTTCTCTATTCTGTTTTCTCTTCCTGCTTCCAAACAGACTTTTTTTTATATCAAAGATTTGTCAGAGACATGAGTATTTCAGATAACCTGTCTTCTCATACCTCACAATGGATAATATTCAGAGGTATTCATGCTTTCTGATGATAATGTCTGCAGTCATTTGTACCTTATGCCTATTCATTTCTTTTCAGTGGAAGCTACTATTCAATGCAGTAAATATAAAATAGCCCCTTACCCCCACACCCAATTAATAGGTAAACATTTGGGAAGGAGAGATTTTATATTTCTGTTGTCTATATAAATTGAACTACTGTATGTATTACTCAGTTTCCAATTTGAGTAACTGGAATATTTATGAGTACTCAGAGCATATTTTATGAAATATACTGCCACCATTTGGACTAATTAATAACTTTGAATTAGAAGGATCATAGAGATGTTGCAGAATGACAGAATCTTGAATTAAAGATATCTTTGAATTCATAATTGGTATAATTGGTTATAAGATAGGCAGCTCTATAAATGTTTTAAATAAATAAACAAACAAATCTGAATGTTCATGCAATAGAAGTTTAAGCATGCATCTGCTTTATACATGGCAATATACACACATATGAAAAAAAGGGTAAAACATTACTTTTTTAGATCACTTAGATAACTTTAACATCACTGATCTACAACTATATTTGATTTCTCCCTGTTCCATTCCTCCTTGTGGTTTAGTTTAGCTACACCCCATTCTTTAAATAACTTCAGCTGAGGAAAGCAGCTAAGAACAATGAATTTCTTCAGTAATTTCTCAAGTTCATTTCAATGTGTTAATAATGTGTTCTGTAAGTACATATCCAGCTTCCATGATAATGTGCCTTAATATGCATATCTCTTTTGAAGTATGCATTTCTCAAAACATTCCACAGTCTTTCAAACAATTTCACAGATTCAGTTGCTCCCCCCACTGCCCAGTTTCTGGATTTTTATGGGTACCCTTGATGTTCTAACTTCAAATCCATTTATGGAAACTTCTGGGATTTTGTGACATCTGACATTTACAAGAACAGTTACTCATGTTGGCATCCACTGAGTAGAAGGGTCCAAGGGAGCCAAATGATTAAATCTCAGTCCTGACATTTGTACTTACACCAATTGTTGTTTGTTTGAGTGTGTATATATGTAAGAGGCAAGACTGATGTTGGGGAGTCCTGTAGCATAATTCACCATTTTCATGAATACTGTTTGCTGCGATATCCTTGGCCGACCTGTGAGTTTTATTAATTCATTAAACTGTCCCACTCACAGCTGTTTTGTCTAGCCTTGTCTTTTTGTATTATATGTGGGATCTGTAGCTTAGCTAGCAATAGCACTTAGATTTATATACATTCCACAGTGCTTTATATCACTTTCTGAATGGTTTACAAATGTCAGCATATTGCCCTCAATAATCTGGGTCCTTATTTTCACGACCTCAGTAGGGATGGAAGGTTAAGTCAATTTTGAGCAGTTCAGGATCAAACTCCTGACTATGGGCGGAGTTAGCCAGCAATACTACATTCTAACCACTGCACCACCATGGCTCCCCTTATTGCTTTTAAGGAGACAGAAATAAAGATAACAGCTAGAGCTCACTTTTATACCATGTTCTTCTGTTCTTGTGTGATCTATCCCAAAACCATATATTACCTTGCTATTTGTATGTGACCTAATCCCATTAGTCCTTCTCTGTATGTTCCTTTCATACTCTTTTAATTATTGTCATTCCCATCCCCTCAATAATTTAAAACATTCCTTTATGGACTACATCTCTAGGGGATCTAAAACCATGTTTAGAATTATGCCATTGTATTTAGAACACCATATTTTTCATCATAGCATTGGTTATTATTATAGCACTGGTTATTATTATAAACAACAGTAATAAGACTATTCATCTCTGAGATTTAATTGAATTATTCAAATAGTTTAATACACTGTTTTATTAAGTTAATTAAAGCCAATATTAATAAAATAAAGTGTGGTTGTGATTCTTGGAGGAAGAAATAAAATTTTAAAAAATCTATACTGCATTCTATCCTCAAGTGGCAGGTATCTGTGTGGTGCAGGTAAAGAGGACTTCTGTGTCAGCTACAACAGAGGAAAGACCCAAAGGCAGAAGCTTAGCAAATTTATTTGTGGCAAAAGTAACAAGGGCCACTAGTCTTGAAAAAAAGAGGGAGGGGAACAGGGTAAAAATGGAGGAAAAAACTCAGGAAATGAAGAGGATTTCACCATTCGTTCCCTTCCGAATTTTACAAGGAGGAGGAGGAGGTGGAGGAGATGACAGAACCCAAATCCTCATCTAAGAAGCATGCAGGTAGAACTGCATTAACATTACTTGCAGCAGGTAATTCTTGCTTTGTAGCCTGTAATCACTACAAATGCAGTCTACATGCTGTGCCGACCGAGAAACCTAGCAATCACAGATAGCATAGCCACACCATTTTACAAGGGAAACTCAATGGTAATACTTAGGTGACTTTTAAACTTGGAACAAGAAAAGGAATTAGAAAGGTAGGAACCTAATTATTTTATATAATTTGGATTTTTAAAAATTAAACTAGGGCACTTTCTGGACTGGGTTCAGCCAACTCTACAGCTTCCTCATAACAAATTGTATAGGATGATGTGCCATTTTTTTTTTTTAGCCGTCTAAAAGAGTTGCAAAGGAGATATTTTGAAAATGTACTATAGTAAAATTTTTGAATGTGTATCCAATTGAAACTTGGCAAGGTTAGCGACACTGAAAGGATCTGTTTTCCTACGCTCATCTATTCTGCCAAAAAAATGAAGCAGCTTCAAGCATTTTGAAACTTTCCCATTATAACCTGTGATTTCCCAAGAAGGAAGCAGAGAGAAGCCCAATTTAAGAGACTGCAGTCCAGAACTGGATGGGGCAGAGAGGAAGAATTTCACCCTAGAATCTCCCAGGGTTTATCTGTTATTTTAAAAATTTATAGCTTTAGATTCCATCTATGAGGCATAAGCAAATAAAGAATTGGACTCAGTTGGATTTCACTGTATTGTCCTTAGGCTTGGCCCTGATGTTAGGACACCATATACTAAATGTGTATAGTTTAAAGATTGAATTAAAAGTGAGGAGGTGCATGCCATATCTTACTATGGTACTTTGGCCAGTCATTTTATTTCAGCCCAATCTACATTCCATAATAATTATGGGGATTAAACAAAGATAATAACTCTATGTAAACATAGATTTACCTCTACACCAAAAAGAAACATATTATTCATCTTATCCTATCTCTTATTTTTTTATTCATGTACCTTACATTTAATTATAATGTCTTCTTTTCTTCTTCCAACTTAACAGTCTATTTTTAATATCCCCATAAAGTTTGTCATAAAGCAACCTTTAGAAAAGGCTAAAGAGCATATAAATTTAAGGAATCATATAAAATTAAGCAAGAAGGAAAAAACAAGAATAACTGCAAATTTATTAATTAATGATTCTAATCTGTCACCAAGCTGCCACATTCCAATTCCACTGATCAAAACTCCATATGCCGTATATGTATATAATTATTTACAATGAAGGATCTGGCTTGAACTGGTTTCTAAAGGAAGTTGTGGAAATAAATTTGTACAATTCATATATTTAAAATATTTTTTTCTAAACTCATGAATTTCATTGTTATATTAAATCTATGAAATCTAGTCCTTCCACAGGCACAAAGCTTAAGTGATTTTGGACCAATCATTCTCTTTTGGCCCAACACACCTCACAGATTGTTTTGGAGAAAACAGGAAAAGGAAGGAGTAGATGGTGTGTTTGCTGCCTTGAGTTATTTATTAAAAAATCTAAAAAATGTGATTCATTCCTTGAATGCCTGCATGACCAACATTAAGTAAACTGGGGAAGCTGAAAGATTGCTATTAAATATACATTATCACCCCTGTTAAATCTGAGCCATTGGTGGCATCAAGCCCCATTTTAGTGGCTCTCAAATGTCCCATATTAACAGTTAAGTGTGATTTTAGAGGTGGTAGGTAAAAGAAAAAACAAAAACAAACCCAATAATAATCAGCTTCCACTTGGTTTAACATATTTATATTAGAATATCCCCCAAATCCCTAGTGCGGGGGTGTCAAACTCGATTTCATTGAGGGCTACATCAGGTTGTGTTTGACCTCAGGGGGCTGGGGTGGATGTGGCCAGGGTGGGCACGGCCAGCTCGACGTCACTTGTATTGGGGGTGTCTGTGGTGGCCCGAGCTCTGCCAGTGAAAACGGGCTCCTGAGCTCTGTTTTTGGCTGTAATGTGCTTTTTCAACCTCTGCCAGTGAAAATGGAGCTCAGGAGGGCACCCTGCTGCTCTCACAAGCTCCATTTTCAGCTGCAATGACCTGCAACTCTTTGCCAGCAAAAACAGAGCTCGGGAGGGTATCTGTGATGGCCCGAGCGCTTTGCCAGTGAAAACGAGCTCCTGAGTTCTGTTTTTGGCTGCAACGTGCTCCTGCAAACCTCTGCCAGTGAAAATGGAGCTCCGGAGGGCCACCTGAAGCCCTCCCGAGCTCCGTTTTCACTGAGGCACTGCAGGCCAGTTGTTTGCTGTTTCCAGGGTGGCCCCATGGGCCAGATCTAAGCACCCCACAGGCCGGATCTGGCCCCCAGGCCTTGAGTTTGACACCCCTGCCCTATGCTCCCTGCATCTATCATAAGCAATGAATTAATTAATTAATTAATTAATTAATTAATTAATCAATTAATTAATTAATGATGGCCCCAAGAATAAAAATGTTTGTTGAAACTATTAAATATCCCATTCTAAAATTTAGGTATATATGTGTTAATGAATTTATACTACAAGCTTGATAGAAGACTTATATATAACACAACTGGTACTATATAATGGTTCTAACACTACATTTATCTAAAAAATCCACAGGTCAAACTCACATAATCAAAGCTGTCAGAGCTACTGCCACAAAATAAAATGGTGCTTCTGAAATTATATCTGATCCAAAATTAGCTTTCAACCAAGGAAGGTTGGTTAAAGAAGTTGAAGGAAAAGAAATTATTATTTCACTACCAGTATAAATGCGCTGTTTGCTGGATTGGAAAAAATGTATTTATTCCAATACACTGAATAATAGGTGCTATGGCAAGCATATATATGCATCCATTCTACTGGTGCATTCATTCATCCATTATATGCATCCATTCTACTGGTGTCAATTAACAGATATTTTTATTAAGGAGCACAGTAGTTAAAGCAAGCATGATTAAGACTATTAAATGGAATTCATTTCCCAATAAATAGATGGAAGACTTATATGAAGGGTTATTTCCAATAAATCACAACACAAATGTAATAAAATAAAAATGTAAAAATAAAATAATAAGGAAATGGCTTCTTTTATTGCAGAATTTTCAGAAAAATAATTATAATGCAACTGTATGGGCTCAAGGAAACTGTAACAATTTAGGGAGAGTGTATTTTTTATTATTATTTTGCTTTTATAAGTTCAGAACAGACTGGTAATTTAATTTTGTCATATAGTGCTCTTTCTTTGTATCGAACTCTACGTTGCAGATACCACAGAACAATCAATACAGTGCAACAGATTACTAAATATTTAGAGGAATGCACTTTATTTCTGCAGGTTGTAATCCTTTCCCAGAAATGTTAAAATTCATACCTCAGGTATGTTTTACTATCAAAAGTCGAACACAGGCATGCAGTGAACACAAATAAACACAAATAAAATTACCAGAGTTGGGGAAGAATTGGGGTTATTAACTAAAATGTTTCAGTTTCTCTATCAACAGGTTTCTAGATAAACATGTCATATAAAAGGGCAGCAATTAACTTTTGATGTTTATTTCTAACATTTAATTAAAAAATAATAAAAAGCATATATTTCCTGAAGGTCTGCTCTGTCATTTGAATATTCTAAAAATATGTTCTCTAGAACAGGGGTTCCAGCCTTGGCAACTTTAAGCTTGGTGGACTTCAACTCCCAGAATTCCCCAGCCAGCCAGCTTTGCTTTGTTGTCTGGGGAATTCAAGGCATGGAAGTCTGCCAGGTTTAAAGTTGTCAAGGTTGGAGATCCCCGCCCTAGAACATTACAATTCCAACACTTCTTGTCCTTTTCTTGACTCCAGCCTCATGGATACATGCCCATCTACATAGCACAACCGCAGCTTCATCCTTGCTTTAAAATAATTCAGTAGAAATAAAGGTCACTTTCTTTGTTTTCCTTCCATATGCTACTTTATAAAGAGAAGATATTCACTTTTCCTAAGCATTCCTCTCTTTTCTTCGAGACCGACTTCTGCCACCAATAGCCTCCCACCGACCAGTCCGCTTCCACAGAGAGGGTCTCCTCAGGGTGCCATCGGCCAAGTTATGTCGGCTGGCGACACCCAGGGGGAGGGCCTTCTCTGTGGGAGCCCCAGCCCTGTGGAATGAACTGCCCCCGGAAATACGTAAGATCTCCGACCTCCAGGTGTTTCGCTGCGCTCTGAAGACCCTGTTGTTCCGCCAGGCCGGGCTAGTAATATAACGTTTTAAATTGGGGTATTTTAAATTTCTGGGATTTTAATTGGAGCCTAATTATTTAATGATTTTAAATTTTAATTGTTGTTTTGTTTCTGTGCTTTTAAATAGGCTGTACACCGCCCTGAGTCCTTCGGGAGAAGGGCGGTATAGAAATAAAATTATTATTATTATTATTATTATTATTATTATTATTATTGTTGTTGTTGTTGTTGTTGTTGTTGTTGTTGTTACTGTGCACTTGGTAAAGTATACTGTAGATAGGAGGAGACTCAGAGTAAGCCTGCTGATTTATCCTTCAATATGCCCAATAAATGTGCTGTGGAAATGTACTGGTTGCTGAGGATCTTAATTCCCTTCTTTAAGAAAGGTATGCCACTGCTACTCAAATGACTAAAATAAAAATATTTTGTGATTTAGTCAGTGTAATTCTGTTTCAGGGCCAGCACACTATCATAATTTTACAGAGATAAAACCTACCTCTATTAACGTATGTTATTTATTTTCTGATACCTATAATGCTGCTAGGTTCCTCACATACTTAGTTCATTTACTTGAGCCATAGAGGCAAGAAAAAGCAGTATGGGACTCACTAGATATTTCAGACTACAGTCATAATCCTTGACTATTTGCTAAACTAGTTCAGATTCCTGGGAGTTATATTCTAAAATATCTGGAAGTTTGCCTGTCTCTATCACTAGCTACTGTATACTATTTAAGTGGTCATGTAGGGGTAAAAGAAAAGCAAATATAAGCAAAACCAGGGGTAAGATGCTCCTGGTTTGGACCGGCTCAGGCGAGTAGGTAGCGATGATGGCCGGGGCTTTGGAGAACCGGTAGCAATGGCAACTGGAGGCTCTGCCCACCCGCCCCATTCCCCGGAGTCGGGGAATGGTGCATTCCCTGACTCCTACTGCTCGCCTTTCTCCCGTGGCTGGCTGTCAGGGAAAGCAAGCGCCCGAAAGGTACCAGAGGCGCTCACTCTCCTTCTTGAATGAGCTGCTCTGGTCCACACGCCGGCTGCGCAAGCGCACACCGTTTATTTAATTCAGCGGCAGGTTGGGTGTGCCCTTGCACAGCCAGCGCGTGGACCAGAGCAGCTCATTCAAGAAGGAGAGTGAGCGACTCCGGCACCTTTCGGGAGCTTGCCTTCCCTGACAGCCAGCTGTGGGAGAAAGGTGAGCAGTAGGAGTTGGTGAATGCACTATTCCCCGACTCCAGGGAATGGGGCGGGTAGGCGGAGCCACGTGGCAAAGGGCAAGAAGGCAGCGGCTCCGCGGCTAGGCCGGAGTTGGGTAATGGTGCATTCCCTGAGTCCTACTGCTCACCGTTCTCCTGCGGCTGGCTGTCAGGGAAGGCAAGCGCCCGAATGGTACGAGAGTCGCTCACTCTCCTTCTTGAATGAGCTGCTCTGGTCCACGCGCTGGCTGTGCAAGGGCACACCCAACGTGCTGCTGAATTAAATAAACAGTGTGCGCTTGCGCAGCTGGCACGTGGACCAGAGTGGCTCATTCAAGAAGGATAGTGAGAGACTCCTGTACCTTTCGGGCGCTTGCCTTCCCTGACAGCCAGCTGCGGGAGAAAGGTGAACAGTAGGAGTCGGGGAATGGTATAGGAAAACTTTTAAAATTTCTATTCTGCCGGCATGTCCTTACCTTTCTCCCATGGCTCCGCCCACCGCCCCATTCCCCGGAGTCGGGGAATGCACCATTCCCTGACTCCGGGGAATAGGGCGGATGGGTGGAGCTGTGGGATAAAGGTAAGAACACGCCGGCAGAATAGAAATTTAAAAAGTTTTCCTACCAGGTTCGGTGAGCATGGCTTGGTGGGAGGGGGTCTTGTGACTGAGTGGGCGTGGCTGTGAGTGACATCGAGTTGGCCATGCCCACTCAGTCACAGGACACCCCCCCACCAAGCCACACCCACAGAACCGGTAGGGAAAAATTTTAGATTTCACCCCTGAGCAAAACCAATTAGATATCTCTACAGTCTGCATCTCTTTTAGGAGCCAATAATTTGTTAATTTGGATACAGAATATGTATGCAGGATTGTTTCTTATGATTACAGGTAGTCCTTGTGTTAAGACCATAATGGAACTTGCCCATTAGAGTCAAAAGTAGGAACAATATTAAATGAATTGCCTCAAGTAATGACTAGTCACCCCTGCTCTTCACAATGCATTTGTTAAACAAATTCAGAGGTTATTAAATGGGGGGGGGGCTGTAGTCCTGGGAAGCCTAGCACAGGCACAAGCACAGTTGCTTCAGGCCTGTCAGGGACTCTCCCACCATGCAGGCAGGCCCACCACACAGCTGACTGCCTTGCAACTGTGAGCAAAAATGAGAGAGCCTTGGGCATGCCTGCCATTCTTAATTCTGCCCCTGCTCTTCTCCTGCCAAGGTGCCCAGCTTTTGTGTAGCAAAAAAAGGAAGCAGTCTTTCAGAGCTTTGTGCATCCATCAGCCTGCTACTGATCAGCTGGCCATTGGAAGACTGCAGCCCCTTGCCTGGCTTTGAGAAACCGACCCTTGCATTAAAGGCAGCTTCATGAAGAGCTTCCTAAAACCTTCCTCTTCCTTATCTCCCTTGCCCTGTTCTCTAGAAAGCCACATTTCTTCAATTAAAAAAATAAATAAATGGGAGGAACAGATTTGTTGACTCCCTCTGCTCCAATTAGGTGGTAGGACTAAATTCTCCCTCTGATTTCCAATTTCTATCCCCTTATAAAACCATACCTTGACTCCAGGCTAAAGAGTAGAGGAATGAAGCGACAAGGAAATCAAATCTTTCTGGGGATTTTTCCTTTGAACTAAAGAAAAAAAGTCATCTCCAAAAGTTGTGCAACAAAATGGAGGACACTGGTTCTTTGCAAGATTTAGCTGTCTATCTGAAGGCAAAAGGCAGGCGAGCTTTGCAGCCTCCTGATGACAGCTGATTGGCAGCCAGCTCCGCAGAAAGCTCTCAAAGCAGCTGCCATTTCTTCAAGGAATTGTTGGGACCTTGAAAATGGTGGCTACTTCCAGGAGGCTTGAGCACTGCAGGTCCTATTGGGGCAGGATGGGGAATAAAAGACAGGGAGGGGAATGCTATAGCATTCCTGTGGTCTGTATGATGGCAAATGACCAGGTTGTCATTTCAGCTGTCCTAACTTTGAAATAGGGTTGTATATAGTTTTGGAATGTTGCTCATAACTTTGAATTCTCATTAAGCAGCCTGTAGTTACTTGAGGACTACCGGTATAAATAGATTGGTTAATCTCATCCTTATCCTATTCCCATTAATCAAGGTCTCAGTTTGAGTAACTTATATATCTACGGACATATAATGTCTAGGCTGCTGTTTCTTTAAGTTGTGAGAGCGGGAACTATGGCTACAATGAGATCTGTGAAATAATATTCAAGCAAGAGGTCATACTTCTATTTTTTCCCTAATTATCCATGTTCTTGCTTGTTTTCCTTATGAGAAAAGAATTTCGTATATTATTTATATAATTAAGTATAAGAAATGACAGATATAACACAAGTTACTTTATAATTTGGAAAAGAATCAGAATTAACATTTTGGTAGAATATGTGTGTGTGTGTGTGTGTATATGCACACACATACACTCACACTCACACTCACACACACATACACATAGATATCATCCTTTATTCACAGTTCTTTTTAACTTTTATATGATGCTTCCAGAATCTCTTTTGTGCATTTTTACGCTATTCCCCTGCTATGTTGTATTGTGTAGCATTTTATAATTTCTTTTTCAGAGCGTTGCCTTTACAATTAAAAATGTTAAAATGTATCTGTTAATCACAAACATAATATACCCATAAATAATCTCTCAAACATGAACTATTAAATCCGAATAAAGAAATGCAATGCAAATCTCATTTTAAAGTATAATCCTAGTAAATTAAGATGGATATGAACTGTTAACCAGGGGGTACAGTATACTCAGAAGACCAAACATGAGACTTGTTTAATACATGCAACTAACAGTTGTCTGCCAAAAAAGGGCTGCCAGGTGAGCAGATTGTCATTGCAGGCTGGGCTAATGGATCCTCTAGTGGCTTTTGTTACTGCTCATGTTACACTACTGAAATGATGAGCCTTGAAAATGACACAACATATGTAGCTTCAACTTGTTGGCTACAGGTAATCCTGCTCTTTTTGGTTTCAGAAGCAGATGCAGATGAGACTAGCAATATAAATATGCAAATTGAAATGGTCCCTAGTCAGCGACACAGTGCCTACCTCTAATGGACCTCGTAGAAAGTCTGTTTGCTCAGCTCCTATTTCGAGAGCTACATCCACAGAAGCAAAAGGACGGCTGGCCATCTGCTGTCGTTCTCGCAAAAGTTGCTGAGGAAAGAAAAAAAATGTATGTTAATAAAGTATATTGAAAATTGAATATTTAGTACAGTCAATCAATGATTCATTTTACATTGATCCACTAATGGGAAATGGAGCTTCTGAACTATATGTTCCAAAGGAATTCAGTTGTGTGATAACACGGCTTTCTATACTTGGAGAAAAAAACATAATAAAACCCAGAAATGTTTGCTTGTTTTATGAAGTCACAAGGGAACACCCTCATTCGCTATATTTCCTTGAGTTCCATGCCATAGAATCAATTACAGGTTGGGCTGGGATTTTCTGTTATTTTTAGTACCGAATACAATAGTCCTCGATTTACAACAGTTCATTTAGTCACCATTTGAAGCTACCATGGCACTGAAAAACATGACTTATGATAATTGTTCACACTTATGACCAATGCAGCATTCCCATAACCACATGATCAAAATTCAGACCCTTGGCAATTGATTTTTGGTGGTTGCAATGTCCCAGGGTCATTTGATCACTTTCTGTAACTTCTGCCAAGCAAAGTCTATAGGGAAGCCAGAGTCACTTAACAACTGCATTACCAACTTAACAACTGCAGTCATTCACTTAACAACTGTCACAACAAAGGTCATAGAATGGGGCAAAACACACTTAACAAATGTCTCATTTAACAACAGAAATTTTCAGCTCAATTGTGGTTGTAAGTCAAAGGCTACCTGTACATTTCTTAGAGCTAAGCTATTAGGAGCACAGGTTGAAAACAGCTAGTTTAAACATATTTCTTTTTCATAAAAATTCTAGTGTCTCACTCACATCTAGTGTCTTCACATGGAAAAAAAATTAGAAGGTGGAAAGCGAGAGTCATGTTGAAGGTACTATTTCTTCTTAAAATATGCACTATTCCTTACTGCTCTCTGCCCACTCACACACATCTATTTACTTCTCATATTTATATAGGAGAATTAGTATGAGCTATGGTTTCAAACAGTGTTTAATTATTATTTCATTTTTTTCCATTGAAACTTATTAGAAAAAACATGCTAAATAATCTTCTCCATCTTTCCATATTATTTGTCCAGGAAGTATTAGAAATTTCAGTGGTGGAAGAGGAATTAGAAGAGAAGATGACAAATTAATTGTTTAGCAGCAAAAGTAACCATAATAAAAGGAGAAGATGGCATGGATTGAATGGAAAATCATCGTAGTTCTAATACGGTTTTTCTTCTAGAAATCCCAAATCTTATAGATGACAGAAATCCTGTGTGACAAAATTTGGTGACTTAACAACACTGGTATAATGTGATAAGATCAATATCAAGAGTCAGAATCTTGAAAAAGTGATCGTGCTTACCTATAAAAATTGTTGAAAACTTCTTTTAATCAAAATAAATTGTGGTCACTTTCTTTTGCTCTGTTAATTGCTGTGTGAAACTTCATTTTCTCAGATATTATTTTGGTGCTCTACCTAAAATCACACTTATTTGCATCTGTCTTTGCTGTATAACTTGAATTCTGTTACACGAAAGCCAAAGGCAATTCAGTATAGCAACCTTGAGTGTTAAGGCTTCAAAGCGAAGTAATACATTATTGTACAAGTTATCATTTATAAAATTAGCCTGCAACCAGTGTGTCATGTCACTGTCTAGTTCTGAATGTGTTAGAAAAAGCACATACTGTATATCATATTTCATAATTATCAAATGTTCCTCATATACATGCATATAACATTTTTCTAAACAAAGAGCACATGTGAAAAATCACAGCAGTATGACCTGAAATCTTATATCATGGAACAAACTCTCTAAATCCATCCTGGGAACAAGACCTTTCAACCTTTAGATTCCCTGTGTAGTTGTACTGAACTGTAGTCTGATGGAGTTATTACTAATGATGTCTGCAGATGCTTAAGCACAATTCTTTTTCTGATTACTTAAACATGAAGAATGACGTCCGAGTACCAGAGAACATTATTACACCGGAGCCAGTGCAACTGTGTAACTTAAAGACTCACACTAGACATAGGATGTCAGAAACTCCAATGGCAGGCGCAAACAACCAGATTCACACACGAAGAGTTCAATTAGCTGTTTTATTGTTCAAGCCTATACACAGAGATCTTCTCCGACTGATGTTTGCAGATGGGTGATATTAGATAAGGTTCAACAACATTCAAGGTAGGTTGAACTTTGCCCTTTCTACACACTTAGGGATTCTAGACTAATTCCCCATTTGACTCTTCCCCTGGCTCAACCAGTCTATCTCCTATCCTGATATCACAAGTTATTCAGTAAGCCACAATGTACACCCTTCCAAGCTAATTTATATTTTTCTTTCAACCTATAATAATAATACTAATTAAACAAAGCAAATAAAAATGATGAGCAGCACTAAATAATACAAATCTTACTTCTATGCATTTGAAAAACTAATAAAGGCAATATTAAATATTTAAGTCAAATTAGTTGCCCAATTAAGTTTAGTTGCTTGTTTCTTTATGTAAATTGAGTTTGGCTGCGTTTAGAATGAATTGTCTGAGCTGAATTCTGTACATACTTAAAATAGTACACCTAGATACTAAAGGATTCCCAGAAGAAAATATTACAATAGGCTTGTAGGGTACCAGGGACAGGCAAACAGTGAAGGCTGCTTTAGGGCTTGTTGGAACAAGAGACTTAGGCTCCCCTTGTCTTCAAACTTAAAAGGGAAAATGGTCCTCTGAGGCTATCATAGCTAGTTGAAGTGAAGGCAAATAGAAGGAGGAAGAAGTGAGAGACAGAAGGATGCTGTTGCTCTTACTACTCTCCCTCCAGTGCATGGCTGCTTGTATTCTGAACTGGAAATGATTGTGAAAAGGAGATATCCTGAGGGAGTTTATGTCCACTGTGAAGCTGTTGGGAAATGGCCATAAGAACCTTCTCTTCCTCATATCCTCCTTCTCTTCAATTGCTGTCCAGGAACCTGCATGTTCTTATTTTTGAGGGCCCATCTGAAAGCTACTTACACAAGTTGCTAAGATTTGCTCGGACAATATATTTTCTGGCTTTGATGTGTGAGCTGAACCTCAATCCAAGCTAAGCTCCTAGGCAGTACTATATACTATACATTACTAATACTATTTGTTTTAATACAAAGAGGAATCTGTGCTTAGGTTTAATGTGACCATTCACAAAGGGGACAGAGACTAACTTTGAACACTTGGAAGACAAAGATGAGTATGTTAATGTATTCTATGCTTACCTATCTGGTTTTCTCAAATGCTTGAAGGATGTTGGAGAAGGTATTGGAAGGGTGTAAAACAAAATGGAAAATGTTTTGTTTCAAACTCAGAATAAACCTGCGGTAGTGGGTGTTTGTGATTATAGGTAGCCCTGATTTGCAATCTTTAGTTTAGTGACAATTCAAAGTTACAACAACACTGAAAAAAGTGACTTATCACCTTTTTTCACACGACCATTGCAGCATCCCCATTGGCATGTGATCAAAATTCAGATGCTTGGCAACTGGCTCATGTTTATGATGGCTGCAGGGTCCCATGGTTTGGGAAATTTTGGACTCAATTGTCATCGTAAGCCAAGGACTACCTGTATCTGAATATTAGGAACATACATCTCACAGGTTCATGAGATCTAGCCCTCCTTTAACAGAAGTGACAGCATGACACTCAGTGCTCCCCACCTTCATTATAACATGCTTCTTTCCAGAGTTTAGTTCCCCTCCATCATTTCCATCAAAAAGAAGGGCCTTGTACGGTAGTTTGTCATTAAGGACCAGTTTGCTTTTTTCTCTCTTGTGCGCTCAAAGAGATAAGAGTCAAGTGTGAAAATGAGGCATGGATTATATATCAGTTTTCATACTATCTTGCTGGCTGGCTGGAAAGAGTCCTGACTGACTAAGGAAAGATGATCATAGTTCCTAAGTGTTGTACAGTACTTAGTAAGTGTAGGTAGTCCAAGACTTACGACTACAATGGAGTTTTGCCCCATTTTAGGACCACTCTTGCCACAGTTGTTAAGCAAATCACTACAGTTGTTAAGGTAGTAACACGGTTGCTAAGTGAATCTGGATTCCCCATTTACTTTGCTTGTGAGAAGGTCAAAAAAGAAGATGGGGATGTTGCAATGGTTGTGTGAAAAACAGACAAAAGTCACTTTCAATGCCATTGTAACTTTGAATGGTTGCTAAACGAATGTTGTAAGTTAAGGACTACTTGTACAAAAATCACTATGGCCAGTGAGGTAAAGCTGGCAATCATTTGGAAGTTCTCTAGATTCTCAACATTTCTTTAAATAAATTAGTGGGGCATCCAGCCAATCCATTACAGCAAGAGAAAGAAAAGAAAAGGAGAAAGACAAATCTAATCTTTCTTATCAAAATTTGGACAAGATTAAACAGTCAGTCAGAAGCCAAGAAGATTGTGGTATTCCACAATCAAATATAGATACAAAGTTAATTTACACAATGTATTCTCATTCCTATCAGGTTTGTTGTCTTCTATTGTCAAATCACTTTTCTTTTTTTAAAAAAAAAAAGTCTGTTACTCTGCCTGAATAAGTTATTGCATGAATAAATAAATAGAATATGTCAATACAGTATTATTATGAAATCAGAAAGCATTGTGAATTGTTTTGCTCAGGACCAGAATGACCCAGGAGCAATGAAGAGGATTGGGACTGCCTGATTTGAAATTGTATTTTGCAACCTGCTGCTCAGTCTAGACAAAAGAGTGGTTTTTGCTGAGAAGTAGAAAATTTTAGAATTAGAAGGGCATGATTGGATGTTCAGATAGTATCATTTTTTACAGGGTAGTAAAATTAATGTAGATTTCAAGAATCATTATATTAGAAGTTCCATATTGAGTATATGGAACAGATATAATCCAAACTGTGTCCAAAAATGCTTTTATGGGCCTAATACAAACAGCATTTCACAAGAAAGAAACAGTAGGTTAAAAGCATTGTTGTAACAGGAACATGAAGAATATAAGATGAAATCAAAAGTCCAATTAGCTGCAGGGAGATTTTGTTTTCAATAGTTTTCATATGTATAATTAAGAGAAAGATTTAAGGTAGATAACAGGACATTTGGAATTAAACAGAAAAAGATGTTGAAGTTAAATTATACATATACAAATGATGAACATGTAATTGCTAACATGAATTAACTTATATGAAATTTGACACAAAAAAAGAACAAGGAAAAGACTTGTGCAATAAAATTGGCTAAGAACTTTGGATACAACATAGTAATGGAACAATGGGAAAATAAAAGGATTGAAATTTACATTGTTATTAACTTCAGAAAATATTTTTTATAAAATGATGTACCATTGGCATATGATTCCAGAAACAATGTCTATAATGTATAAAGATACCTCAAATTTATGTTGGAAACATGAACAACGTGAAGGTTATGTTATCATGGTGGACTTATAAAAAAACCCAGACATTTCTGAATTTTATTATAGACTATTATACATAAAAATGGAAAAAATCTGAAATACATTCACAGGAGAATGGTTGGTGAAGATGACACAACTACCAGAGATGGTAAAATTAACTTGTTTGGTTTGAGAAAGATCAACTAGATTTATTAGTGACTGGCAACCATTTACTGATTTTTTGCTATTTATTTATTTTTATTTTTTTGCAATTTATAGGTTTGAAGATTAGAAATGATTCATGAAAGAAGGAAATTATGATGTAATCTCAGAGGTAGACAGCTAAAATATAACTATAGTGGTTATAAAATATAAAATATAACTACTCAAAACTACTCAAACTGCTTCTTCCTCTCTTCTCTTGTGCTGTCTCACTCACAAACACACATACACGTACACACGTAACTATGTTTTACTGACTTTATTAATATTCCCCAGCAACTCCCTTCACCAAAACCCCAGAACTACCCCAATTAAGTCCAACCATAAGCATATCAATGCTAGTCTACAGAGCAATGGCCAATGAGTCCTCAAGGTACTTGAAAGTTTCCCAATTAAAAGAAACCCATCAGGCAAAATTAAATCCACAATACAAGAGAGATCATGAGGCAAGAAAAGTCCAGTGTTCACAAGGCATGATCCAAGTCAAGGCATGGTATCACTCCAAAGCAAGGCAAGAATCACAATGACCAGAAAAATAGCTGACATCTGGAGAAGTATTTGGGGAAGCATCCAGGTCATCACATTCCTCTCTTGTCTCCCCTCTCCTTTTTTTTCTATTTTATTTCTTACTTAGTTACTATTTGGCTTATAGTCTTTCTTTTTTTCTAATTTTTATATTGTTTTTATCTCACAAAAAAATTTTCAGTACAAATTATATATATATATATATATTAAAAAAGAACAAGACCCACAATTCAGATGTGAATTTGCAAACAGAAGGACAACACAGGCCAAGAGAAAGCAAAAGCTCACAAAACA